ATGCATCTGCAACTGAGTGTCCTTTCGGCTTTGACCCAGTCGCTTCATTCTTTCTGGTGCTACCAGTACTAACCCTCTGCTCTTCCCCAGTAGCATATTGGACACCTTCCAACCTGAGGGGCTCATCTTCTGGCGTCGTATCGTTTTTCCTTTTGGTACTGTCCATGGGGTTTTCATGGCAAAGATACTGGAGTGGGTTGCCATTTCCTTCTCCAGTGGATCACACTTTGTCAGAGCTCTCTGCTATGACCTGTCCGTCTTGGGTGACCCTGCACGGCATAGCTCATAGCTTCATTGAGCTATGCATGCCCCTTCACCACGGCAAGGCAGTGATCCATGAAGGGGGCTTTTCCACATACTAATTCATATTTAAAATATGGGTTGCCACTGACTTAAAAACTTAAAAAAATTGTTTCTAATTTTATGGTGGAAAATGTAATGATATCTGTGAAATCTTGCAACTGTTTTATTTTCTGTTTATCCTACAGGCATAACGAAAGGGAAAAAACAAACAATTAATGGAATGTCCCACAAAATTCAATCTGCCCTTCTGTCTGCAGCTGCAGTTTGTTTTCAGAATGTTGTTGCCAGTTAACAATGACCATACTCTTTGAAAAGGTCAGTCTGACATCTGGTCCTTTGAATAGCATACCTTTATTTTATAGGTATGCTATTTACCTCAAAGAAGGTAGGAAAAGATGATCTTCTAAGATGACTACATTAAAAGTGGCACTATTTCCAGGCTTGGGATCAAGCTTAGAAATTACTGTACTGCATTCATTATCTTCATACAATCCTTGGTGATGCTGCCTCAACCATCTCACTGATGAGTGTTTTTTGTTCTGTCTCCAGAGACAAATAAAAGACCTGCACCCCTAATACTCAGTTGTGTAATTTGTTTTAGGAAATCTGCATTAAACCAGCACAGCTGTGGTATATGAAACTAATTACCTGGTTCCCAGAAACTAGTAAATCATGTTGCAGTTCTTCCTATCACATACAGCTTCATTCATTAGTGCAAATCAGTTATTTAGGTGGACTTTTAAGTTCCTCAGGAATGTTATTTCTGTTGTCTCTTGGTACTATGTTTCTGTTAGAGAGCTTTACTGTGATTTTTGATATTAAGAGTTCATAGTCACTACCACTTCCATTGTTTTGACAGTAAGAATAACATCTCTCCATCTCCTACTATGAGTTAGACTGTTTGCTATGTTGTCCATCTGCTATCCTGATCAGTTGCATGAGGTATGTATTTGCAATAATCAGATGATTGGCTTCACAGAATCCTATGATTCATTCACTTGTTTCATTTCTGACCCCTTTGGCCAAATTTTCCTACAGCATAGGATTCTACTTTGTTTCCTACTTTTCTGTTCACCTATGAAGATCAGAGAGACTGAGGGACCTCGGTCTTTTCAGCCTTGAGAAAAGGAGACCTGTTAGCAATATACAGGTAGGTGAGGGGATGTCATGCAGAGATGGGTCATGACCTTTTTTCCCCTATGGTGGAGGGCAGGATGCGTGCCCAAGATTCAAGGTGGATGCCAGGAAGTGCTTCCTGACAGGACCCCTAGAATATGGAATAGGCTTCCACAGGAGGTGGTTGAAGTCCCATCGGTGAGGGTGTTTAATGATAGGCTGGACATGCACATGGTAGGCATGTCATGAGTGGAGCCTGCTAAAGCTGGGGGTCAGACTAGATGGCCCAGGATACTCCTCCTGACTCTGTGTTTCTTTGTTTTGGTGTATTATCAATTTCCTCTTGGATGCGTGCTTTTGTCTTTTTTTTTTTTTTTTTTGGCATCTGTTGTTGGGAGCAGATTTTTATGCAGATTATGTTACAAGTTCTGACTGTTACTCAGCCAGACTTCATCCCTTACTGCTAACGCTACATCTTGCCTTAGTATTAGACCCACTCTATTTCTTCTAATTTTGTCATTTACGAACTTAAAACACTTTTGTCTAACTGAATATGCCCCATTCCACTCCATGTTCGTTCATTTACACCAAGTATTGTTATGTTTAACCATTCTATTTCTTGCTTTACAGATTTCAGTTTACCTTGATTTATACTTTGTATATTCCATGCTCCAGTTTTATGTGTTGTGCAGCACTGTATTTTCCTTTTGTTTGCTGTGCATGCTAGCTGCTAGACTTTCAGTTTTGAAGTAGTTAGATCATTATCAACAGTATTATTTGTACATGTTCTTTGCTCTTTTCCAGTAGCTGGCTGAGTGCCTGAGCTGGGAGTCTCATCGTCTGGCACTATCTCTTGTTTCATTTAAATTATTTCATCATGGGGATTTCAAGGGTAAGAAGTATTCAGGAGTAGTTTATATTGCGTCCTTCTGCACTGTACTAACAGAGTTAACTTGAGCTTCATTTGCACTCTCCTTGAAAGATCCTCTATCAGTGCCATATCCCACCTACCACTGCTGTTCAGAAGTTACCCTTCAGAAGCTTCTCTGCCCCCATCACCATTAGAGATACCCATTCTCCTCTGCCAATGTGACCATTATTCCTGAAAAGGGTGGATATTTCTTAGTCTGGTGTCTCCATGTTGACCATTCCACCTTGAGTGGCCATGCTAGGAAACCAGCCTAGTGAGAAAGTCTGGCCTCCTGGCAGCATTGCTCTCTGTTTCTTTGACACTCTCAAACATCCTCATCTCATTAAAGTGGGCATCCAAGAGGGGGTGCTAACAACAATCCTTAAAATTGAACAGGGGATTGGACCTGATGGCCTAAATAATTCTGTGAGCCATTGTGAAAACAAAGGCACTTCTTGCTGGGAAGATTTGAGGGATCATTGTATTTATTATTTTATGTAGAGAAAAATTAAGAGTTCCCTTTAAACAAAAAAAATAACAAAAGACTGATTGTTGGTAAGGCCCTGTCTTTGTATAAATTGAAAGACCTATTTCCATGCTGGCTTAGACTTGCTAATAAGTATACCGCTTTTTTTTTCTTCTCCTACCGCACCAACCTAATATTCCTCTATCACTAACATAAATATTTCAGTGCTCTCTGGAGAAATATTAGACATCCAGAGTAGGGATATGTGGGGTATCCATCTGAGGGTAGGAATCTCTCAATTTCCCTGGGGTCAGTCCCCAGACTCCTGTCTGCTTTGCAGTGGCCCTCAGTCGAAGTTCCTGACAAGCATGCCCCGGCTTCACAGGGCAGTCATGGGAACTGAGCCCTACATGTTGTGCAGGCAGTATCCCTCCACTGTGCCTGCCTCCATTGGCAGCAACGGACAGCAAAGAAAGTTGGTCAACGGAAATGGTGCCCTGCGCCTCTCATCCTTATCCTTCAGCCACTCCTGACAGGGAAGGTTGCCAGTTGCGCACTTGGGGGTTTGCAGAGTTCCTCAGCTTGCCTTGCTTGGCCAGGCCAGGCCAGCCATAGGAGGAAGTCCACAAATGTAAGAGGGATGGATTCTGAAAGAGTCCATCTCACCCCTAATCCAGAGCTACATTATCCATACCAAGGATCAATTTATGAGATATAGAGAGGGTAGCAAAACATATTACCATCTTAGACCAGCTCCCACAGATGTTGGGAAATGGCATATCATGCCCATGCGGTCCCTTTCTTGTGGCTATAAAACACAGCAAGCAAAAGGTCTGGCATACAAGAACTTAAAACTAAATGTGAAGTACTAGCTCATAGAAGCCTGCATAGTCACTTACGTTAAATGTAATTCCTTCCAACAAGAGTGGTATAGCCCCAGGAAGACATTGCAGGAGAGAAAATGAGCATTTTCATTTTATTCTATTTAAATCTTGCCTTTCCCTATGTTCAAAATGTGATGAGCGGATGCAGGGATCCTTGAAACTGGGAGGGAGAACAACAACCATATCAAGAGCAGAAGAGTCAACTCTCTCTGTGGATCAGTTGATGCAGTCAGAGATAGTCCTTTAAAATTTTCTCCATCAAAGCTCATGTTAAATATTAAGAGTTGCACAGAGGGAGCAATTTAGCAGATGCACCAATTCTCTCCAGCTGCTAAAAATAAGGAACCTCCCACCTTTAAAGATGTTAAATTGCCTTCTTGCTCCAAAAGGTTGACCAACACCTCCTTAACTCTGCATATTTCTGCCACAGCTGGGTGTCTTTGGATACAGCCCTTCCTGCTGACCTGGGGATTGTTTCCCATTTGTAATTCACTAGTCATCTGAGTATTAGTCAGGCTTTCTCTAACTTTCAGGTAAGAGTAATCTCACTGATCTGACTGGAAGGAGGAAAAAATGGTCATATACACACAAGGGCATCTCTATTAATTAACTTAGCTCCTGAAATAACAGACTATAACATGGTACTGTAAATACTTTCCAACATACAACAATTAAAATGCTCTGGTGTTTAATACTAAAATAATATATTTGCAGCATTCTAATGTAACATTCATGGAGTTGCCATAAGTCAGCATATAACAACAATGCAACATTTAATTTTAGAACTAGAGCAAAGGTTATAATGTTCTAAAAGTATTAAAACCAAACATTACATGCAATTATTTTACTATTTGCATCATTCTTTGATGTCTCTGTATATTGATTGTAAGGTAATGAGTTCTACTGGTTTGCTGGTGAAAAAAACACATTGAAAAATACAGCAAACCCCACAAAGCTTAAATAAGCAGTAATGCAGACCCAAAATCTAGGATCTTTAATGAAATTCTTATCAAAACAGCTGAATATTACATAACCTACTGACATCCCAGCAAGACCGCCTGCAATGTGGGCCACAAAGGAAACCTTAAGAGAAAACAAACAAACACACACATCCCCTTAATGGTGTTCTGTTGAAGGATAGTGAATCAAATAGTGCCAAATAGATCAAGTGCTCAAAGATCCAGTCTGCACATAGTACTAACATTTCCTGGACTGTTAAAACTAAGAATTGCAGGAAACAGAGGAGCATACAAGCTGCCCACTTGTTTCTTCCTCTTGTAACCCAGCAAGAAACCATGGGCAGCTATTAAGTTAAATCTGGTTTGCTTAACATCTGGACATGCCAGAATTTCCAGGTCTGGATATCACAGGGCATTCCTGTTACTCACTCCAAGCACAAACAACAGCAGTCCCCCCAGTTTCTGAACTAAACGGGCTAGAAGTTCTCAGCATTACATGCAGGCTATATGAGAGACTGGTGTGGTGCTAGTGAAAGCCAGAGCAGAAATGCCAGCAAGTATTCAGGATGTCAGTGCAGTCCGTAACGTGGAAGACAGCCACTTAGACAAAAACAGCAGTGGCCCTGAAGAATAGCCTCCAAGTGGAAACAGGGGAACTAGGTGCTCCACAAGAAGAGGAATCTGTACCAGGCAGGCTGAGAAAGAGTGGAGACATTAGTTTTAGATGAGCCTTAGCAATGCTGCTGGAAGCCAAGCCCTCTCAGGGAAAAGGGTTGTGGCACTCAGCTGTAATCCTCATCCAAAGGATGGCCATGTGTCATAAGGCCAAGTCTGCATGCTTCATTAGGTTACTCCTCGTAGTGTGAAGACTAGACAGTGGACCCATTTCCGGCCATAGATCCTGAAAAGTGCACATGCATTTGCTCTGGATAGGGCCCAATAGGCCACAGATGCACAGAGGGTTCACTCAGAGCTCCACAGTGGAAGTGGGCAAGTACTACTTCCACTTATTGTCACTTGCAATCCAGTTCTTCTCATTATGCATGCTTTTTACCCTGCAACCTAGATCATTGAAAGCAGCGCTTGGCTCCCCTTACAATACTTGGGGCTTGCTTAACTTGCTTTGTTAAGCAAGTTAGTATTGAACTTGAGTAGTGAACTGGCCTCCAGCATACCCCGTGCTTAATCCTTACCCTGCTTAAAATGTCAGAGAGAAAAAGAAAGCATGAAGCAGTTGCAGACAAAGGGAATATTCCTAAATATGATCAGATGGCAGCATTCCAATCTTGTAAGAGAGCCTATCAGGTGAAAGCCTGGATGGAAAGGAAATAAGAAAAAGCCATAATATTTGCTAGAACAGAATGAACCAGCAAGGTAGAAAAGTTGAAATTCTGTCACAAGAAACATGCACTTACCTGAAGCCCATGTACAGGGGAGAAAAATCTTCTGTACAAAGCAAATCCCACATCTGTTCCAACTAGAAAATCAATGCAAAGAGTCAGAAATCAATACAAAGAGTAGCCAACTGGGCAAGCCTCCAAAACATTTCACAGGCCCCACCTTGGCAGTCAGTTCTATGGGGACCTAATGTACAGGTGTGCACAGCAGTCACAAAATAAACAACAGAGGAATAGCTCTTAAAACGTGCTGGAGAAGGCACGGAGAGCCAAATCCAGCCTCCAAGATTACACAGATGGTCATGCCCCCATTGTTGTTCCCTTTCCTCCAGCTACTGATTTATGCCTGCCTAGCATTTATGCATGCTTTTCTATAACTTTCTCCCTTTTCACATGTCAAAAAAGTCTCTCTTAAAGCTTAATTACTCACAGGACAAGCTTTAAGCTAAAAGTTGATGTGGTGGTCTTTTAAAGTTATTAATGCTAGTATGTTGGCTCCCCACTTTTGCCTTTGGCCCTATCCACTGACCCATAAAAAGTTTCTCTGAAATGGAATTTGGCACTTGCACTAGAAAGTCTTGTACCTTGTACTAGAGGTTATATCTTCTGTCTTGATTGCTTCATAAAACTCACCTGTACCTATTAAAATCTTAGATTAAGACCTTCCTCTTCCAATAGCAATTAAATTTTATTCTGTTGTCATGTTATTAATTTTGTTGCTTGGTCTTTAAATTTTTTATTAATATTATATTGCTTTGATATTTTTACAGCTGCATCATCATATATATAAGTATAACCCTTCCCAAAGTCATCTGTCAGTTACCTGGCATTAAAAGTTAACAAATAGTTAAAATGAATGAATGAAACTTTAATCCAGAGATGCTGAACTGCTGTCACCACTTGTGTCTTCTTCAGCCTGAACCAAGGGATTCTCTGGACTCTAAAGGACTCTCCTAAAGCTTCAGGATCAAGCCAATAGCCTCTATGTCAAGCTTAGGACCAAAACATTAAACATTGGTAAGTAACCAAATGGAAGAATCTGGAATTAGTATCGAAGTTTATTTGGAAGTAAGCAAGCACAGCTTAACAGGTAGCGATTGACAGGGAGAAAAGGGAAGGGATATAAAATTATACAGAAATCAGCGAAACCTTTGGAACAATGTCAGGAAAAATAACAAAAGAATATCTAAACCTATTCTGTTTATTACCTAGTTATTCTCCCTCTCTCCCTTTCTTACATATATAAGAAAAATTTACCTATTGAGAAGATGAATAGCAACCTGGCAACTCCAAATAATGGAATCATTTCACGGAAGTTCTGTAAAAAAGAGGCATAAACAAACTATAAAGTGATTCCATACTGGACTGTTGAATTAACACATGTAAAGTTCAGTTAAATCACCTATGTATTAAGATTATGGTTTATCACTTCATTATCACTGTTGGGAAACACATTGGAGGCGGGCTTGCACTAGTTCTCAAAAGAAAGTCTTGAGTCTCTAGAAAACTCTCAAAAGAAATCTTGGTGTCTTACAAATAAATAAATAAAGTTGTGTAACTTAGGCAAGGCATTTGAGGTTCTTTGAGTGTTCAAAGCTTGTCTTGCCTCAGGAAAAATCCTGCCTGGGAAGGTTTGGGTTAAAACAAAGACCCTTAAGCACTCTCAATGAGTTGCTAGGGGATTTTTTTTAAGGAAGGGAATCCTTCCAAAAAGCAATGTTGTGAGCATGTGATTGGTGTCAGCCATCCAAGAGTTTTTCCCTCTCCAATAACTTCCATTTTTCTATGCCACATGGATCTGTGTCTTATATGTGTGTGTCTGTGTGTAAGTTCTGAATTCTTAGTATACCATCTTGTCAGTGCTATGTTACAACTGAATGATTGGGAGGGAATGGGTGAAACTCGGGCTGTGTATGTGTGTGCGCACGTGCATGCAGGGGGAAGAATTTCTTGTCAAATCTATGAGGCTACTTTTCCCTTTTGAGTTCAACGAAGTTTTGTTTCCTTTTTTCCTTTTGCAATGTTGCCAAATATTAATGATAATGATAGTGATATTGTTGTTACTGTTGTTACTGTTGTTATTGATGGTGCTAAAAATTTTTTTTTCCTTACAGTAGCCTAATGATTGTTGGGGACTGAGCCCATTTGCCAGCCCCAGGATGTGGGCAGCTAAAATGGCAAGTTCTCAAAACTTCTTTCCATGAACATAAGCACTCATATGTTCATCTAAATGTTTGTTTGTGTTAACAATGGGTTGGTGCATTTTGTGTCTATGTGGGAGAGTATCACCTCTGTAATAAGAAATTGTGTAAAACAGTTCTCATTGTCCAGCAGAAAGCACATTTCTCTTTAGCCTAGGCAAGCAACAGGTTTGTGCAACACCAGTTCAACAAAGGATTTCTTTTGTGTGCATTTTTGCATTGGTTGGATTGATTTCAGCAACCCAAACATTTTCTTCTTGAGACTGTGCTAAAGAGACTCAAAAAAAAGGACATAGACTTTATGTTGTGAGCCGCCCCGAGGCTTTGGCGAATGGGGCGGCATAGAAATGTTTTAATAAATAAAATAAAATAAATCTGGCAGCAGATATGGCTTTCCTCACAAGTCCTTGATCTGATTTCTTCCTTCTCAGACCCTCAGCAAAACATGGCCTAGGTGGCAGAATTCTCTCTAGTTCTGAAAAGACTAGATAGCTCAACACATAATGGGCCAACTCAGTTTACAGGTCTTTGTATAAGGTTCTTTATCCCCTTCCTTCAACTCCTACGCTATCTTCCCTCAGTTACAACAGCAGCTACAGGGATGGACTGCACATTTCTACTGTGTCATACTTGAATTGCCAGGTCCTTTAGAAACTTGTTCCTGCTTATCAGTATCAGTCCTCCCTTCCAAAGAACTGTAAAATCCTCGAAGAACACTTGTACCACATGCCTGGGCTTCCAGAAGGTTCAATTCAGCACAAGTGATGTCTCTAAGGAAGATTCTCAGGCTGAGAAAAGGCTTCAGCTCAGTCCAACAAACACTATTAAAGCCAGTTTGTTTATATATTATTATTATTATTATTATTATTATTATTATTATAACATTTACCCTCCCCCCATACTGATGTATGCTTGTGTACTGTCAGAGAGCTTTTGTCAATAAGTCACAAGAATCTTGTTACACTGCAGTTGTGTCTGTTTTGTTCCTGTCTTCCCTTGAAAGGAAGGAATTCCCCTCTCTCAACTCCCTACTTTATAGTAAGATGCCTGGCTTCTCAAAAGGGTCTCCACCAATTCCTGCTGGATTTATTTGCAACTGTTCTACAATGTGAAATGAAAATAAGATGTCTTCTATTAGAAAATGATTGTGTTACAGGCAGACCTGATCTTCCTGTTACCCCAATTGCTCCTAAGCCCATACCAAAGATTTGCAAGTGAGAGCCAGTGTGGTGTAGTGGTTAAGAGCATGGGACTGGGACTCAGAGGATCTGGGTTCTAGTCCCCGCTCAGCCATGGAGCCAACTGGGTGACTTTGGGCCAGTCACAGACTCTCAGCCCAACCTACCTCACAGGGTTGTTGTTGTGGGGATGAGATGAGAGGAGGAGAGATGATGTAAGCTGCCTTGAGCCCTTTGTAGGAAAAAGGCAGGATATAAATCACAATATAAAAAAATAAAAAAATAAAAAAAATAGCTGTGTAGTTTTTGAGATGTGTCTGTGGCAGCTTTAGAACTTACTAGTCCTAGTATACCATAAATAACCTTCAACTTATTTTGCAGGACAACAACCATCTTGTGAAAGTATAAATTATAGTTGACAACAAAAATCAGAGGACACATTTCAGCTTCCAAGGAGTGATTCCATGGCCCCTAGGCATCAAGAGTCAGAGCTCTGACCTCAGAGTTGGGAATTCACACTCTCATCCTTTTCCTATTTCCACAGCTGCTGAAGGAACACTGGCTACCTCTCAGAGCTCTAGAAATTGGCCTAACAGAGCAGGTAAAGGGGATATACTGGGTGTCAGGAAATGAAAGATAAGGGTTAGGGTGTGGGCTTGGGCGTCATCAGGATCAGTGGCCCCAGTATCAGCTAGAAGGCTGAAAACAGCAGTCTAGCCAAAATGCACAGCAGGAGATTCAGGGAGGTAGCGATTACCTCTGCTGCTTTGCATTAGATACTCAAAAGCCTTCTGGTTCCGTGGCTTACAAGCATCAAGGGCACAGTCAACAGGAATGCACTTTTTATGCTTCAACAATAGTTAAGGGGCAGTTGCCCTAAGGCAATTTCCCTCCCCCCCACCACTTCCTGCTTTCCTCTCTTTCTCTTAATTTCTCTAGTCATTCTTAATATCTCTTTCCTATTTCCTATTTTAGTTTTTTTCCCTTAGGAAAAAAAATGTGAGGTACTTAACACTTTGAGGATGTAGGAGCTGGCAGCAGCTTCTTGTGTGGCTGAAAAAAGAATGCACCTACTTCTTGTGCAGTTCAATACAGTGCGGTATACAGGATTGCAGCCTAAATGAACTTTGTTCTCAGATAGCAAGGTGAGTTAGCAAAAGATGTAGTATCCTATTTACTAGGTCCTGTACATTCTGTCCTGATTTGTGATATTTTCTCAATATATCCCTTTGGAAATCACTTTAGGGAAAACCCCAAAGTCCCCCAAGTGTCCTGTAATGGGTGGTCAAGCTCCTTTCTTACCACAAGAATATTCATAAAGTATCCTCCAATCAGAGCATAGACACCTCCTGAAGCTCCCACTAGGCCTTGAAGAGGGTCAAAGATTGAGCTTGCCAGGGAACCTGGGGAGGTGAAAAAAGGGTTGTCACCAATTAACAAAGATGATGCACACTTCAAGCACTCAGCCTAAGTCGAGTAAATGATGAAACAAAAAATTATAAATTGTGGACACCTACCAGAAAGCCAAAGTTGCCTGCAAGTTGTCATCTCTTGCATAGTTTAAAGGCACAAACCCATGTTCCAAAGCCTTAGTGCCCGTAAGCCTCCAAATTTGGAAGTTTACATGTATCCATTGTCTGGAATGAGGGACTACAGTGAAGATCCCTGCTGCAGACATGCACTGCATCAGACATTTTTTGCAGACAGCCATTTTCAGGCATCTTGATAGAGTGCTGGGAAGGCGATGGAAGAAAGGTGGAGCACCAGTTGGAACTGGCATTACCCCATGGCCCTGGCCACCTCCTCTCCCTGGCACAACCTTTTGTTCACTTCCAATACCCATTTCAGACCCTAGAAGGGACAACATGATTCTTTCTGTGCAAGCTGAAATGGGGTGAGGCAGTGGCTTGGTCCCTGGATGCCTTGGCCCCAGCTTCCTGAACAGTTTCTCAGAGCTGGGAAGTGGAGTAATTCTGTGGCCACCTGGGCAATGTCAGGAGGGCACATGATTGTGCCCTAAGAGCGCCGGCAGAAGAGACACCTGTGCGCACAGCAGCGGCAGCGAATGCCTGCGCCCCGGACTCCACCACCTGACTGGCCGCCACGCCCTGCACGCGTGAGAGGCGTGCCCGGGCGCGACAAGCGTCGGAGGAGGCCCTGCGCCCTGAAAAGCGCCGGCGGCGGCCAAAGGGCGGTGGTCGCCGCTGTTTGGGGGCCGAGCAGGGGGCTGGGCTGGCCAGGGGGCTTTGTTTGGCTGTGTGATATTTAGCCTTCCTGCTGCGCTGCGTGTCATTGTAAGTTTTTAACTGTTTTTATAATTTTATGGTATTTTAAGTTGTTTTATGGAGTCGTCCCTGGCCACGTTGCCGCTTGCGCTTACTGGGGAGCGCACGGGCACTGCCATTGGGGTAGTCTTGGGCAATGGACGTTACAGCGGTGGGAGCTTAACGTGTCCGCATAGAAGAAGGAGGGACAGATGGTTGACACCTGTCGCTACTTCTGGTTTTGCTCCCAGCCAGAGGGTGCCAGGGAGTCTTGTCAGCCGCCCCTCGGGCCTGACGGTGCTGTTGCTTAACGCCAGGTCAGTCAATAACAGATCTTCCCTCATCCATGACTTGATTGTGGATGAGGGGGCTGACCTGGCTTGCATAATGGAGACCTGGGCGGGGCGGGGGGATGTGGCTGTCTCCCAACTATGCCCGCCCGGGTATCTGGTTCAGCACTGTTCGCGCCCAGAGGGGAGGGGAGGGGGCGTCGCTTTAGTTTACCAAGCCTCCATCTCTCTCAAGGGACTTCCTGTCCCTTCGAGGCCAGGGCTGGAGTGTCTCTACTTGGTGTTGGGCAACCGAGACAGATTGGGGATTCTGATGGTGTACCGTGCACCCTTCTGCCCAACAGTCTCCCTACCTGAGCTGACGGAGACTGTCTCGGACCTGGTGTTGAGGACCCCCAGGATGTTGGTCCTGGGGGACTTCAATCTCCATGCCAAGACTGATCTGACCGGGGCGGCTCAGGACTTCATGGCCTCCATGGCGGCCATGGGGCTGTCTCAACAGGTCATCGGCCCGACCCATGAACGTGGACACACTGTGGACCTGGTTTTCTCGACAGGGCAGGAAGAGGGTGGTCTGAGTGTGAGGAATTTACGTTTGACTCCCCTGTCATGGTCAGATCACTTCATGGTGAGGTTTGTGCTCGAGAGCGACCTCTCCCTCTGTAAGGGTGCGGACCCGATTGTGTGGGTCCACCCCCGGAGCCGGATGGATCCGGAAGGATTCCTGAAGGCCCTGGGGGAGTTTCCGGCTGACAAGACGGGTGCTCCTGTCGAGGCTCTGGTCAAACTGTGGAACGGGGAGATGACCAGGGCTGTAGACACGATCGCTCCTAAGTGCCCTCTCCCACCAGGCAGAGCCCGCTCTTCCCCTTGGTATACTCCTGAATTGAGGGCGATGAAGCCGGTTGGGAGATGGCTAGAGCGTAGGTGGAGGAAATCACGTGATGAATCTGACCGAACACACTTGAGAGCCCACTATTGGGCCTATGCTGTGGCAGTGAGGGCGGCGAAAAAGAGATTTTTTTCCGCTTCCATTGCCTCCTCACAATGCCATCCAGCGGAGATTTTTCGAGTGGTGCAGGGCCTGGTTTGTCCAGGTCCGAAAGAAGACCTGGTTCCACCCTCAAAGGCCCGCTGTGACGACTTTGCCAGGCATTTCAGGGAGAAAATCACTCAGATTCGTCACGAGCTGGATTCCACTATTGATACAGAGGTTTTAAGGGAGACGCCAATGCCGCCGTCTGGTCCAGAATTATTAGATGAATTTCAGTTATTGCGGCCCAATGATGTGGACAAGGTGCTTGGACGAGTACATCCCACCACTTGCCTATTGGACCCTTGCCCGTCTTGGTTAATAAGTAATTCCAAGCACGGGATTGGGACCTGGATTTTGGAAGTGATTAACGCCTCTCTGAGGGAGGGTCGGGTGCCTGCCCCTTTAAAGGAGGCGGTACTCCGACCGGTCCTGAAGAAGGCGTCACTGGATCCAGAGATGGCCACTAATTATAGACCAGTGGCCAACATCCCGTTTCTGGGCAAGGTGTTAGAGCAAGTGGTGGCGGGACAACTCCAAGCACTCTTGGATGAAACTGATTATCTGGACCCATTTCAATCTGGCTTCAGACCCGGGTACGGTACTGAATCTGCCTTGGTCGCCCTGTATGATGACCTGTGCAGGGAAAAAGACAGGGGGAGTACATCCCTGTTGGTTCTCCTGGACCTCTCAGCGGCTTTCGATACCATCAACCATGGTATCCTTCTGGATAGGCTAGCGGGATTGGGGGTCGGAGGCACTGCTTTGCAGTGGTTCCGCTCCTATCTCAATGGCCGGTTCCAGAAGGTGGTGCTGGGGGACTATGGCTCTGCGCCATGGCAGTTATGCCATGGAGTACCGCAGGGGTCCATTTTGTCCCCGTTGCTGTTCAACATCTACATGAAACCACTGGGAGAGGTCATCAGGAGGTGTGGGCTGCAGAACCATCAGTACGCTGATGATACCCAGCTCTACCTCTCGTTTTCCACCAATCCAGGTGAAGCAGTGGCTGTACTGAACCAGTGCCTGGCTGAGGTAATGGGCTGGATGAGGGCCAATAAACTGAAGCTCAATCCAGACAAGACGGAGGTCCTATTGGTTGGTGGTTCGGGCTTCGGAGAGGGTGAACTGAACCTTGTTCTGAATGGGGTTGCACTCCCTCTTAGGGACAAGGTCCGCAGCTTGGGAGTGCTCCTCGACCCGGAGCTTTCACTAGAAGCTCAGGTGACAGCAGCGGCGAGGAGCGCTTTCCTCCAGCTTCGGCTGATTCACCAGCTGCGCCCCTATCTGGAGTATGACTGCCTCGCGACAGTGACACATGCACTGGTGACTTCCCGTCTCGACTTCTGTAACGCGCTCTACGTGGGGCTGCCCTTGAAGACGGTCCGGATACTTCAATTGGTGCAAAATAGATCTGCCAGGCTGCTGATGGGGACTGGGCGTTGTGTTCACATGACTCCAGTTCTCCGTCAGCTTCACTGGCTTCCCATTGAAGTCCGGGCCCAATTCAAGGTGTTGGTGATGACCTATAAAGCCCTAAACGGCTTGGGTCCTGGTTACCTGAAGGAGCGCTTGCATCCATATATGCCCAGCCGCCCCTTGAGATTGGCGGGGGAGGCCCTTCTCCAGGAACCCTCCGTGAAAGAAATTAGGAGGGTGGGTACTCGGAGGAGGCCTTGCTCTGCTGTGGCGCCCAATCTATGGAATGCGCTCCCCAGAGAGGTCCGCCTGGCGCCGTTGTTATTTGTTTTTCGGCGCCAGGCGAAGACCTTTTTATTCAAGTGGCATTTTAACTGTTAATATTATTGGATTTTATCTGGCCAGGGCGGCTTATTTTATACTGTATTTTTGTATTTTTAATTTAATGTTTATATTTTTGATTTATATTATAATTATTTTATAATTATTGTTTATTTTATAATTATTGTTGTAAGCCGCCCCGAGGCTTCGGCGAATGGGGCGGCATAAAAATGTTTTAATAAATAAATAAATAAATAAATAAGAGACAGAGCTCCTGAATTTTCTGACTCAGGTTATGTTTCAGGTGGCTGCTACACAGATTCACTCAAAGGTTCCCATACAAAGTAACTTGATTATGCTACCAGGCATTTTCCTCTGTTTACTCACCTCCAATCACTCCTGCAATATAAACCAGTCCAACTCTATGCCCTTTGTGAACGAGTTCTAGGGGGATTCCCAAAAGAAGCTGCAGGAGAAGATTGCCCAAAATATGTTCAATGCTGTGAAAAATCATATAAAAAGATCAATCAGAGATTTTTAGTCATCATTTGAACAAAAATCATATTCAATATTTAAAATATTCGTTATAGTTGAGTGAGTGAGAATAATTGAAGAAAAGAAGTTCATGGGCTACTCAGTCTCTGCTCTTAGTCTAGGCTGCAAAGGCAACTTTTATCCAGATGGAAACTTCAGTGAAGCTGCACAGCAGAGAAGATTTGTGGACACAGTCACCCTTCCTCGTGCACTGCAGGTTCTTGGCAATCCCATACTAAGCGCCTCCAAGCCAGAGGCCAACACCCACTCGGATGGGGGCACTGAGGATAGGGGAACTGAAACAAATGCTCTGGAAGCATGAAGTATACAAGAGGGGTGACTATCTCAGACAACCAGCGTTTAGTCATCCAGTCTTTTGGGAGAAACACTGGGGTATCCAAACCACAACAATATAGAAGATCCTAGCTACCACTGAGTAGAATAATCTATGAATCAATCCAATCTCATTTATGAGAAAATGCACATTCATTTAATTTTAAACATGTACACATGGAAAAGAGCATCCCAAACCAGAGTTATAGAGGTTTGCCTTCAAGATAACAATGATTTCTTGATTGTGAGGCTTTTAAAAAGACTTGCCTGTTTCTTCTGTTGGGTTGCACTCTATTTTCTAAAGTGAAAATAATAATTAATTAAGTAGATTGGGATCACAAAAGATGCCCCAAAGCCTTGTGCAGCACTCCTGAAAGTCAGTGTAACTTACTGCTTACCCAGCATGTACAAGCATGTAGGACACAAATCTCCAGGCTTCCTTCCTTTTGTCAGATCTGTAAATAAAAGGACTCTCCCAGATGCCGGTGTCTAGGGTGATCCACTGTTTCTGCGGCTTCCAAACAGCATAATAAATGAATATAGCCAGCTAGGAACAAACATAACATTTCAGTCCGACTCTTGAGTTGAAAGAGTCCCAAATCCTAGTGTTTCAGAAAAATGTGTGTGATAATTTTATCTGAAGAAATAGTGTGTTCAGGCAAGCAATGGAGGACTTATTTTTCCTCCAAACATTAGGAACACTCTGAGTAAATTTGCCAAGCCGTATTTGACATTCTAAGTGAATTATTCAACATTTCCTTTTTTTTTAACTTTTTTAAAAAAATAACTGTAAAGTTTATAAGAATAAAAGTAAATATTACAAAAAATGCCAAGGGTTCTTGAACAAATGTTATATAGAATGTCAAGTGTTTTAAAAATGATGTATAACTCAACAATCACTATGCTTTCTATTCAGTCAAATTTTTTTTTAGTACTTAAGATTCATTGCAGATTCTTCTAATCTCAAACAATTTTCTCAAAAAGCCTATTCTCTTTTTACCTGTATTTTTCCGTTGTTGTTATCCCCATTAAAAGAAGCTGTATGTAATACAATTTCTACTTATCATTAATTTCTTTAGCTGGTTATCTTTTTACATTGTTAGTTAGTCTTATTACATAGTCAACTAACTTTTTTTTTCAGACTTCAATGATTAAATTTCTTCTGCTTTCCATTTTAAGGCAGTTTTAATCTAACCACAATTATCATGCACTTAAATCAGTAAGTGTTGAATAACTCTGTACTCAACACTTTCTATTTACCACACTGGCATTCAAGAGTTTTGAGCTTTTTTCTGCTGCAATTCTAAGCAGCAGTGGATTTCTTCAAGAACATTATTAGGGCCGATCCTCTAATTTCCAGATCCAATTTGGATAGTTTTCTGTTTGACTAATAAATAAACAATTAATTGGAAAGCAACTGTTCAGGGGTGCTAGGGAACATGGTACAACACTTCTATGATGTTACCAAATCAGAATGTCAATGAGGACTATATCAAAATATGTGAGAAGAAATAAAGGATGCTTCTACATGGAAGACTAGAGTACCAGAGGGAAGGCTTGACTAGAACCCTCGTCCCTGACACAAAGCTTTCCACATGTGTGCTTTCTAACTTGATGGAGAAATCATTTACATGATCCCACAGTTGCATTCTGAAGTAAAGCTGTGTCATGTCCTGCTTCTAGCAAATATATTGGTGCTTATAGCTAAATGGGGCATCACAACTGATTCTACATATTAAAATTGATATAGGCACAAAGAAGAGTGTGCTAGAATATCCCATCATCCTAAAAAGCATTAAGTACAAAATACAGAAGTATGCGGGGGGGGGGGGGGCGGAATCTGAACTTTATGGTAAGGAGTATTTCTCAGACTGTGGGATGGGACCCATCACTTGAGAAGGAATTGGCAACCCACTCCAGTTCCCTTGCCATGAAAACCCCATGGGCAGTACCAAAAGGCAAAAAGATATGATGCCAGAAGATGAGCCCCTCAGGTGGGAAGGTGTCCAATATGCTACTGGGAAAGAGCGGAGGGCTAGTACTAGTAGCGCCAGAAAGAGTGAAGCGACTGGGTCAAAGCCGAAAGGACACTCAGTTGCAGATGTATCTGGTGGTGAAAGGAGAGTCCGATGCTGCAAAGGTCTATACTCCATAGGAACCTGGAACGTAAGATCCATGAATCAAGGCAAGCTGGATGTGGTCAAACATGAGATGACAAGACTGAACATCGACATCTTAGGAATCAGTGAACTAAAATGGACAGGAATGGGTGAATGTAATTCAGATGACCATCAGGTATACTATGGCGGGCAAGAATCCCTCAGAAGAAATGGATTAGCCTTCATAGTCAATACAAGAGTAGAAAAAGCAGTATTGAGATACAATCTCCAAAAATACAGAATGATCTCAGTTCGAATTCAAGGCAAAGCATTCAACATCACAGTAGTCCAAGTGTATGCCCCAACCACTGATGCTGAAGAGGCTGAGGTTGACCAGTTCTATAAAGGCCTACAACACCTTCTCAAAATAACACCAAAAAAGGATGTCCTTATCATCGCGGGGGATTGGAATGCTAAAGTAGTAAGCCAAAAAATAACCAGAATAACAGGAAAGTTTGACCTTGGAGTGAAATGAAGCAGGGCACAGGGTGGCAGAATTATGTCAAGAGAACACACTGGTCATAGCAAATACCCTTTTCCAACAATCCTAGAGACGACTTTACATATGTACATCACCACAGAAATCAGATTGACTATGTGCTCTGCAGCCAAAGATGAAGAAGCTCTATACGGTCAGTAAAAACAAGACCAGGAGCTGACTGTGGCTCAGATCATGAGCTGCTTGTTGCAAAACTTAGGCTTAAATTGAAGAAAGTAGGGAAAAACACTAGGCCTCTCAAGTATGACTTAAGTCATATTTCTGATGAATATACAGTAGAGGTAACAAATAGATTTAAGGAATTAGATCTGATAGAGTGCCTGAAGAACATTGTACAAGAGGTAGCAACTAAAACCATCCCAAAGAAAAAGAAATGCAAGAAAGCAAAATGGCTGTCTGAGGAATCTTTACAAATAGCTGAGGAAAGAAGGGAAGTGAAAGGCAAGGGAGAAAGATACACAGCATTGAACACAGAATTCCAGAGAGTAGCTAGAAGAGATAAGAAGGCCTTCTTAAATGAACAGTGCAAAGAAATAGAAGAAAACAATAGAATACAGAGGACCAGAGATCTCGTCAAGAAAACTAGAGATACGAAGGGAATGTTTCATGCAAAGATGGGCATGATAAAGGACCAAAATGGCAGGGACCTAACAGAGGAAGAAGAGGTTAAGAAGAGGTGGCAAGATTACACAGAAGAACTATACAAGAAGGAGCTTAACGTCCCTGATAACCACGATGGGCTGGTCACTGACCTCGAGCCAGACATCCTGGAATGTGAAGTCAAATGGGCCTTAGGAAGTCTGAGCAACAACAAAGCTAGTGGAGGTGACAGTATTCCAGCTGAGCTATTCAAAATCCTAAAAGACGATGCAGTAAAAGTGCTACACTCAATATGCCAGCAAATTTGGAAAACTCAACAGCGGCCACAGGAAAAGGTCAGTTTACATTCCGATCCCAAAGAAGGGCAATGCCAAAGAATGTTCGAACTACCGCACCACTGCACTCATTTCACCTGCTAGCAAAGTAATGCTCAAAATCCTGCAAGCTAGGCTCCAGCAGTATGTGGACTGAGAACTACCCTAACAACAATCCCATTCATTAACACAGGGCACTGGCACTGCCATTTTGTGATTGGTAATTATTTCCTGTTATTTCAAGAAGGTTTAAAGAAGGAGCTTTAGAATCCTACCTCAGCAACACTGATGGCAAGGATGAAGAGCGGTGGTGGGATGCAGCTGGCTCTTTCAAGGTAGATTGCTCTGGCACCTTCTGGAAGCATCCATTTAGAAACAACATTGTGAATGTTCTTGCAATTGATACAAGCACTGTGGCTTCTATCCTCGTATTTCTCCTCTTCCTCTTGTGCTTCTGGAGCCCTCTGCAAGTTCAGTCTCTCAAGCTCCATCTTTTATGTGGCTAGCTGCTGCATTAAAACAAAGATGATAAGGAACACCCTTAATCTGTGGCTGAGCTGCAGATCACTACCTCATCCTGTCATGCTCCATTCAAACATGAAAACAGGGCTGTGAAAATCTGTCCCTGATACCAGTTTTCCACTGGAGGACACACCTCTCCTTAGGAGTTTGTATTTAGTGAAGTGGGCTGGCAACTTCTATAATTTAGCATTTTGTATCTCACTCTTTGGGCATTCTAAGAAGGCACATCTCCCTCCCTCCCTCCCTGCTGGGCTGGCAGTCTTAAATGTAGCCTTACTTTGCTAATTCCCACTTTGTCTGCCGCGGGGAGCCAGGTCCAAAGCAGTGGCTTTGCGGAGAATCATAGAGCAATAAGGGGACATCCGAGTACACGCTCGGCTCGGCAATTTGCTTCAGGCAACGATTGTTTCTTCCAAAACCCACAGCTCCTCCACCCTCTCTATTTCTGTCTTCCTCTCAGCGGGCTGGCCTGCGGGTGGAGGCAATGAAGAAACGGAGCTTTTTTGATTGCCACTGTCATTCCAGCTGAGACTCGGAATCCCCAGAGTCGCCCAAATTCCTCCCCGTTTCTCTGATTTCTAAGAGGCGTTCGCAGCCCGTCTCTGCGGCAGCCCCCAACCGGAGAGCCGCGGCAGGTCGGCAGGGCGAGCCACCTCGGGGACGCGCCGAGCCCGCGTGTCGGGAAGCGAGCGGCGCCCCGGGCACAGCGGCGGGGCTTGCGCGCGGCCGCGTCTCTCCGACCTGGAGCCCGCGGGACCCGCCCGGCGCCGGGGCTCCTCGCAGCCCCGCCGCCCTCCTGGGAAGGCCGGCCCGGGACGCGGCGCGCGGCGCACTCTGCTCCCCGAGCCTCCGGTGCGCACGTGAGCGCGGCGGCGGCGGCAGGAAGGCGGCGCGGCGCCTCCGCTGCTTCCCGGTGGCCCTGGGCGGAGCGTGGCGCGCTCGCTTCGCGGCGCTCCCGGAGCAAGGAAGCAGGAAGCCCGGCCCGGCGGCCCTCCGCGGCCGGCCGCTGGGCGGGCGAAGGTGCGCCGCCCGCGCCCTCCTGAATGGAGGCGCCGTCTCCGCCAGCCCGCCGCTGCCGCTCCGCTCCGCTCCCGGCAGGACCCCCGCGGCGCGGGCGCGGCCACGCCGCGGACGCGGACGAGCCGGGCGCCCGCCGCCGCCCCCTCCCCTGCCTTCCGCACCTGCCTGCCCCTGCGGCGCGCCCTCCGAGGCAGCCGCCGCGAGAGGCGGGCGCCGCGCTGGGTGCCCGCCGGAGCCGTCGAGGGGCAAAGCCGCCGCGGCCAGAACGCGCGCCGCTCCGCGTGTCGCCCTCAGGGCACCTGGCCGCCTCCCGCGGAAAGGGGCCCGCCGAGCCGTGATGCGCCCTGTTTCCTCCCTTTTCCCGCGGCGCTGAGCGAAACAGCGCCCGGACCGCTGGGCGGGGCCACTGGCCGCGGTTGTCCTCGCGTCGAGGCTCACCGTCCTCCTTGCGCCGTGGAAGGGGCCGGACATCAAGCGAGGGCGGCTAGGAGCAGATGCAGTGAAGCCGGGATGTAGGAGGGAGCTGATGGCTGCATCTCGCTGGCCCCCAGTCTTCTCTGCTCTTGTAACTTCCAGGTTACAGTGCAACATGAAGTACCTGAGGCTGCCTTTGAAGGCTGTTCAGAAGTTCAGCATTTGCAAAATTGCAGCAACCAGATTTACAACAGGGACAAGACCATCTGAATGCATATCACCCATTCTGGCCCAGCTGATTTTTGACCTATAATGTCTTGCACACTTGATCCTGTAATGTCTGATGGAGTGCCGCTCCCATTCATGATGCTCATAATCTAAAGCCTCAGACAAAGTTACCTTGGAAGGTGGCAACAAATGGCCTTCCCTCATGGTGGCCCCAGATCATGGAGCAATTTTCCAAATAAGGGTCATGAGTATAGTTGGAAGAGGCCATGAAGGTCCTTGTGTCCAACCCCATGCTGTTGCAGGAAACCAAGGGTTGTTGTTGCTAGTGGCGAAGTTGCATCCAACCCATTGAGACCCCTCCTCCAGGCCGTCCTGTCCTCCACCATCCCCCGGAGTCCACTCAAGCTCACACCAACTGCTTCAGTGACTCCATCTAGCCACCTCATCCTCTGCTGTCCCCTTCTTTTGGCGTCAATTGTTCCCAGCATCAGGGTCTTCCCCAGGAAGAAGACAAATGGGCCTTAGGAAGTCTGAGCAACAACAAAGCTAGTGGAAGAGACAGTATTCCAGCTGAGCTATTTAAAATCCTAAAAGACGATGCAGTAAAAGTGCTACACTCAATATGCCAGCAAATTTGGAAAACTCAACAGTGGCCACAGCATTGGAAAAGGTCAGTTTACATTCCGATCCCAAAGAAGGGTAATGCCAAAGAATGTTCAAACTACCACACCACTGCACTCATTTCACATGCTAGCAAAGTTATGCTCAAAATCCTACAAGCTGGGCTCCAGCACTATGTGGACCGAGAACTACCAGAAGTACAGGCAGGATTTCAAAGATGCAGAGGAACAAGAGATCAAATTGCCAAGTTACCTTGGATCATGGAGAAAGCTAGGGAGTTCCAGAAAAAACATTTACTTCTGCTTCGATGACTATGCTAAAGCCTTTGATTGTGTGGATCACAACAAATTGTGGCAAGTTCTTAAAGAGATGGGAGTACCAGACTATCTTATTTGTCTCTTGAGAAACCTGTGTGCAGGTCAAGGAGCAACAGTGAGAACCAGACACGGAACCACTGATTGGTTCAAAATTGAGAAAAGAGTTCGGCAAGGCTGTATAGTGTCGCCTTGCCTATTTAACTTATATGCAGAGCACATCATGGGAAAGGTGGAGCTAGATGAATCACAAGTTGGAATTCAGATTGCTGGGAGAAATATCAACAACCTCAGATATGCAGATGATACCACTCTAATGGCAGTAAGTGAAGAGGAACTAAAGGGCCTCTTGATGCGGGTGAAGGAGGAGAGTGCAAAAGTTGGCTTGAAACTCAGCATTAAGAAAACTAAGATCATGGCATCCGCTCCTATCACCTCCTGGCAAATAGATGGGGAAGAAATGGAGGTAGTGACAGATTTTATTTTCCTGGGCTCCAAGATCACCGCAGACGTGGACTGCAGCCAAGAAATTAAAAGATGCTTGCTCCTGGGGAGGAAAGCTATGGCAAATCGAGACAGCATACTAAAAAGCAGAGACATCATCCTGCCGACAAAAGTGCGTATAGTCAAGGCTATGGTTTTCCCATTTGCAATGTATGGCTGTGAAATTTGGACCATAAAGAAGGCTGAGTGCTGAAGAACTGAGGCCTTTGAATTGTGGTGCTGGAGAAGACTCCTGCGAGTCCCTTGGACCACATGGAGATCAAACCGGTCAGTCTTAGAGGAGATCAACCCTGACTGCTCTTTAGAAGGCCAGATACTCTGAATGAAATGCAAATACTTTGGCCACCTAATGAGAAGGAAGGACTCCCTGGAGAAGAGCCTAATGCTGGGAGCAATAGATGGCAAAAGAAGAAGGGGACGGCAGAGGATGAGGTGGCTGGATGGAGTCACTGAAGCAGTTGGCGTGAGCTTAAGTGGACTCAGGGAGATGGTGGAGGACAGGAAGGCCTGAAGGAATGTTGTCCATGCGGTCGCGATGGGTTGGACATGACTTCGCAACTGACAACAAAACACATGTTCTCATTATATGTACACATGTGTGGGTGCCTTTTGACAGTAGTGCGCAGCTTCTAGTGTGTTATCTTTCAAGTGCACACAGTCAAATTGACACCATCAGACATTAGATGTGCACATGGTGACTTGGCAAGTGAAACACAGCTATTTTTCAATATTATTTCAACCTACCGTTACAATCAATTTTGTATATTTCGACATGTTGGCTAAACACAGTCCTGTGAACAGTGAAAAATATGCAGCCTTTCTTTTTGATTTGACACAGGAATTTTAAAAGAGATTTCAAAATTTCCTGGAAAATCATCACTATTTTGGTATATTTGCTACTCCATTTCAGTCGACATAAATGTTACCTGCCAGTTTTCAAATGGAATCCATAAACCTGTAGTCTGACATTCAACTTAAAGAAAAAATTGATCATAGAGTTTTATAGGTCCTTTCTTCCCAGAGACAAATATCCCTTGCTTCCCAGTCACACCTTATTCACATGTCTTTGCTTTTTTGCAGCACCTACATTTTTGAGCAACTATTTTCAAGAATGTAGCACACTAAGAATAAAATTAGAACTAAAATTGAACACCTTGAGAACTACTTCCATCAAACCAGATATTGATGCATTAGTTTCTCAAATACAATGTCAAATATCCCACTGGTTTCCTATTGCCCTCTTTTACTTCTATAGTAAAAAATATTTTTAAAAAATCAATGAAGTTTTATTAGATATGTTCATTTTCTGTATTAGTGATTGCTAACTTGGGACCTACATGATTGTTTTAACTCTCTAAATGGGATGCCACATAATTAGGATTGCTATATGAGGAATTTTTTGCTTATCTGTGGTGGCAGATATTGCAAAATTATGCACAGACCTTTTTTTTTTTGTAATCAACTTTTGTTCGCATTTGTGTATTTAATATGCAGTCCAAGACAATTTTCCTTCTTCCAATGTGGCCCAGAGAAGCCAAAACCAGGAACACCCCTGGTTTAAAGCAGAAAGTCAGCATCTAATCATGGTAGAGCTCTGCTGCCATCCGGTGGATGCAGTGTGAAATGCACTCCTTTATGTCTTTAAAATGCATTTATATGAAGGCGAGTTGTCAGGGAGTTGGGGTCAGGGTCAGATTCAGGGATAGGGCTAGGAGATATTTTTTTTAGGTTGGATTTTTAAATTAAATTTAAAACCATTCTACAGACAAATTTTTACAGAAGCAATTTAAAGAAATAACTTACAACAAGTTGGCATAATGAGATAGCTGGTGCTATTATACTCAAACAGGCTTGCTTGCTTGCTTGCTTGCTTGCTTGCTTGCTTGCTTGCTTGCTTGCTTGCTTGCTTGCTTGCTTGCTTGTTTATTTATTTATTTATTTATTTATTTATTTATTTATTTAGAGTTTTTGTATGCCATCCCACCACTTTGGTACAAAAAAGAATACCAATTATACAAATTAAAAACCCGATTCATTCCTTCTTTAGGATCGGCCTGACCACCGCCTCCTTTAGAGGGGCAGGCACCCGGCCGTCCCTCAGAGAGCCGTTGATGACCTCCAGGATCCAGGCACCAGTCCCATGTTTGGCCTTGGTCAGTAGCCAAGACAGGCAAGGGTCCAGTAAACAGGTGGTGGGACGCACTTGTCCAAGCACCTTGTCCACATCATCGGGCCGCAACAACTGAAACTCATCCAACAATATGTGACCAGACAGCAACATCGGCACCTCCCCTAGAGAATCTGAATCACTAGTGGAGTCCAGCTCATGACAAATCTGAACGATTCTCTCCTTAAAGTGCTGGGTAAAGTCGTCACAGCAGGCCATTGAGGGTGGCACAGAATCTTTCCTGGGGCTAGGATGTACCAGCTCCTGTACCACCCGAAAGAGTTCCACTGGACAGCACTGTGAGGAGGCAATGGAAGTGGAGAAGAATTTCTTCTTCGCCACCCTCATCGCCCTCACCACCCTCACCACCCTCACTGCCACAGCATAGGCTCGATAATGAGCTCTTAAGTGTGTTCGGTCAGATTCATCCCATGATTTCCTCCACCTATGCTCCAGACATCTCCCAACCCGCTTCATCGCCCATAATTCAGGTGTATACCAAGGAGATGAACGGGCTTAGGAGCGATTGTGTCAATAGCTCTGGCCATTTCCCCATTCCACAGTTTAACCAGAGCATCAACAGGAGCCCCAGCCTTATCAACCGGAAACTCCCCCAGAACTTTCAGGAATCCATCCGGATCCATCCGGCTCCAAGGGCGGACCAACACAATAGGGTCTGCACCCTTACAGAGGGAAAGGTCGACATCAAGCTCAAACCTCACGAGGAAGTGGTCTGACCATGACAGGGGAGTCAAACATAAATTGCTCACCCTCAGATCACCCTCTTCCTGCCCCGTCGAGAAAACCAGTGTGTGTCCACGTTCATGGGTCAGGCCAATGACATGTTGAGACAACCCCATGGCTGTCATGGAGGCCATGAAATCCTGAGCTGCCCTGGACAGAAAAGACTTGGCATGGAGATGAAGTCCCCCAGGACCAACATCCTGGGGGTCTTCAACACCAGGTCCGAGATGATCTCCATCAGCTCAGGCAGGGAGTCTGATGGGCAGAAGGGTGCATGGTACACCAGCCGAGTCCCCAATCTGTCTCAGTCGCCCAACACCAGATAGAGGCTCTCTAGACCCGGTCTCGAGAGAACAGGAAGTCCTGTAAGGGAAATTGAGGCTCGATAGATTAAAGCGACCCCCCTCCCCTCCCCTCCCCTCCCCTCCCCTCCGGGCGTGCCTGGTGCTGGACCAGATACCCGGGCGGACACAGTTGAGAGAGAGACACATCCCCCCCTTTCCCGCCCAGGTCTCTGTGATGCAAGCCAGGTCAGAATTATGCCAGGACCCCTAGTTTTCTGAACCCTAACCCTACCCTGGT